TAACCAGTTCAATTGCCTTAGCATTAATTAGGACTAGTGAACAGTTTAATTGCCACACAGATGATACTACTCAAAAAAGTTTGCCTATTTTCCTCTACTTATATTTATATTTCACAGCTTGGGGTGAGCGACAGACTTACCTCCACGTGGTGCACCCTGGGCAAAGTTTACTCATACACCACATTACACCACTCCACAGTACTCATCTTACCTTTTCTCCACCTTTGTGTCTGTCTGTCTCTTACATTTGTGAATCACCCTTCTGTTCCTCCTCTCGAATTTTTCCCACTTTGATGTTTCTCCCCGCTTTGAAATAAGCTAAAGGGCTAATGATAGTTATCAAAACGCCTGCCATTTGAAATAAATATTTCACAGCAATTTCTAGCATATTCTAAGTAGTATGACTTAAATGAATTCGTTTACTGATAAGCACAACTATCTATCTGGACTAAAAACGTAGGTTCGTTAATCTCTGGTCATAAATTTTAAATAACTCTTAATTCAGAGCAATCACCGCCTTAACAGCCCCGAAATCTAATGAAATTGACTCGACTAACTATTAGAACAGGCCTTGGAGAACGATGAGGAATAGCGTTAACTAGTTTCAGAAATCGCAATCCATAAAATCTAAGCTACATTTAAATAGAGCATTTGAACTAATTGAGTTTTTAAACTTTGAGAAATCATTGGGGAGAAAGGCATTCTTTTTGATGAACAGAATTCACCACCTTAACTAGACACAAGCATTCATTAAGGTCAACTTCTGTACTTTTATGGGCCAGAAAAGTTGTTTATAAATTAATGAAATTTAATACACGACTCATTAGACCTGGCAAAAATGAAAACTAATAACAATAGGCATTAATTGAATGGAAATTTGTTGCTGATAGTGTGAAGTAAAACTATTTATTGGCAAAGTATTAGTAATATTGAGATTTTCTGAAATCACATATTTTCAAAACTACACCCCGAATGATCGGCAGTAATAGGAGGGAGTAAAACTCGAAAGCCAGTGAGCCGTGTTAGCTCAAAGTCTGCTCTTGCCCGGATGCAATAAGAGTGTAATGAGGAAATTCGCTGTGCAACCATGTGTCTTATTGTTCCTCCCACCCCCTAACCTTAGTGACTGGGCACTTTCATACACCTCATTCCACATTCAAGGCCGCTCGATATGAAGATGAAAAGATTGTAGATTCAGATAAGATAATGAACTCGTAAGGCTCTATCTCCTTCGGTTTACGCAAATGTGCAAGCTATGCACTCTATTATCCAATCCGGAACCATGACAGTAATAAATATTCAGATAGATGTAAAAAACAGTCACGTTAAACTCAAGGCCATATGCAACGAGAAAATACAGGCGGATATGTATACTTAATTTGTGTTCCAGTGTTACATTCCAAAAAGACCTTATCATTACAGACTTAATTGGGGAGCTCAAGCAGTTGCGAAAAAATGAAAATCGATAATCCCAGCCCTGATTAATGCAAAACAGCTAATTAAGTTCGTCGAAAGTGAACACTTGCGCACTTACATAGAGCTAATTCCATGGTTAATTCTGTGTTAAAAATAGGCGTAGTAGTTCCATGCACATTGACACAATCCCAAGAATCGGCATTTCGCAAACCAAGAGTAACACGACAGTAGAGATTGTATATTGACGTGCTTCTGTCGAGAGAACGCAAAGCCAAACGGGTATCATCAAATAGACTGTTCGATGATTCGCTCATGTCACGAGCTGGATTTTGATGGGCTATTAAACTCTACTTGCAAATTTACTCCGTTACTCCGTATCCCTCCGGAAATTACTTGTGCCGTTGGCCATGCTAATATGGTACACTACGTTAGTAGTAGTAGTAGTGCTTCTTCACCCGGGCCATGCCCGCTTTCCCTAGCCAAAGGCACCTTTTCCAGCTCAGTCCATATCAACCAATCAGATCAGAGGAAATAAAGAAGAGCCGATATTTGAACATTTGGAAAATAAAATGTGCCAATGAGGGAAAAACAATAAGAGCAAACGAAATTTAAGCTTTCGAAATAACATCGATGACGAAGTATATCCGGACATCATTTTCCTAGAAAACACTAATTAACTAAGGCTAATTAACAGCCTAAATTGAGTGACCTATCGTTTATTTTTTTCTATTTGAAAAGCTTTGGAGGGCTTCGTGGTGAGGATAGTGAGAGGTTATTACAGAAATTGAAGTAGGGTTCCAAATTTTTTTACTTATATTACTAATAATCTTTGGGACCTAATTATCTCGACCTCAAGGTGGTGGTTGAAGTGTTTGACCCTGGTACTACCTCAAAACCGTAGTGGTAGTTGTTAATCATGTGGTGACCTCAAGTATCCTCTAGAGAACCATCGTCTGCCCTCAGATGGCTTACTTTGATTAGTGGACGAGTCACTCGAATGGCCCTTGAGTGAACGATGCTGGGGTTCAGTTTCCCCTATCAGCCATGTCAAGAAAAAATCAATCTGCTTGCGCTACCTCCCTTCTACGAGGTTATATTAAGACCCACTTCCATGTGCCTACGCACACAAGCTTGTCATTTACCAGCTCCTATGCTTTCCACTCACCTTCTCTGTCTTTCACCTCCCTCAGCCTTTTTTTAAATACCCCTCGAGTTCTGTTCAATGCACTTTTCCGTTGCCTCAATTACTCTCAGATCAACTCTACTCTCAAGTATTTTAACCACATGCACTAGACTTCGGTCGGCATTCCACTCTTCGCCTTGTTCTTGACTTGGGGCTGTGAATGCCTATTAGTTGTAACTCCCAATTTGGTGACTTCAGCTCCTATTTCTCCGTAAAGTACATGCTCAGACAGATGCTGAGACTGCCGATATATGCCTTTGCTAAACCACAGCTCCATGATGGAAACCGGATGAATTTGAGTATTATTACAAGGTACCCTTAAATGTAACTTCAAGTTAAGCCCATTTCCCCATCTCTCGTACTTTTATAAAAAAAAGAATATTAATAATCGAATTTGGATTTACAAAACTGGGAATTCACTCCTCAAACACCCTTCACTATGAATTATTCACCCAAATTGCTTGTAAGTCGATTAACTTTTATTGTCTCATAACTTAGATCGTAAAACACCAGTATTACAAGAAATGAACAGAATAATGAACCAGAACAAGTTATGAGTAATAAAACCCGCAGGTGCAAAAACATTAGAATAGGAGGTATTAAAAGAAGTGACTAATCATCGTCACAGTATGCTACCAGCAGCTAACAATTATCAGCGGCCTTAATTGAATGGAAAAGCAAGCCACTAGTCTAATTAGTTCACCTCTCCCCAAATAAATAAACACTTTCGTTAAAAAAATACAAGAGAAAAAAAGAAAATGCGACTTACGGCGATAGCGTTGAAATGTGAAATACCCCGCGCCTCCGTGAACCGGCGCAGAGTAGCACATCGAGGAAACAATGCTGGATGAGGGTTAGCACGGCGCTGTTATGTGGCAAACATCACGCACAGCGAACTGAGACAAATACCCATAGCCAATCACCTGACCAATTGGTAATTCTAATGCGTCATCATGGGAGAATGACTAAATGGCGAGGGTGCTAGCTCCACCTCGAGCACAAATATTGGTTGGTCAGTCCGGCTAATAAGGTGAGCCTCTAAGTGATTGGCTACTTATTACTCGATTATTTGATATTGGGCGTGAAATTTGGTCTATTTCATTTATCAGGCACTAAGGAGCAATTCGTTGATGTTCTGCTGAGTTCAGCAAAATTATGTTGAATGGGGCTTTACTATTTTGTATGTAATATGTATATGGCATAACATTGTCCATTTAGAGCTTACATAAAAAATAATCATTGTAGGCTTTATTAGATAACATTATTCATGTTATCTAATAATCTTGTTCTTAACGAACAATAGAAATTCACTATTGCATTTCCCTGAACACTTTCTCAGTGTCAAAGAGCCCGTTAGTGCCTACGATCGCAATCTAATTAGACCAAACCGAAGCGGCATGGGCATAGAATGTGTGGATCAATGGGGAGCTAAAGCGCCAAGATAAACTGATTTGCTTTACCCTTGTAACTATGCTGTCATTGTTGTCGCTTCCTCTTTGTACGCCTTAATGCGTCTGGGCAGTCATTACCTTCTCTCTTTCATCTTGTGGAAGTTAGAGAAACGTTATATGACTGGAAATTCTAAAGTGAAAACTCTCTCCCTCTACATGACGGCAAGCGAGTAAAAGTTATCGAGACTCCGATTTCAGCATTGAGTTTCTAAAGGATGTCCACGTGCTCGTTCCATTGATGTTTACTTGGAAATGTAGTTACCAATTTTCAGTTGCGGATACCAGAATAGAAAATTGGCTGGCTTTCATTTACCTGTATAATTACGACTCCACTAATCGAATAAGTGTGACTAGAAATTCACTAATTGTGCAGAAGATCAGCTTATTTGTTGTCTAACTTCGAGATTGTCTCAAAAATAATGGAGTATAATTAAAAAGATACATTACACACAGTATATCATTTTTCGTTTCAATATGGGTCATAATATGTTTCACCTTATTTTTAAAGGAAGATGAATATTAGGGACAAGGAATTTTGTAAATTTACACAATATTTAACAATTTGATAAATAAAACACGATAGACTATCGTGAAATACTTTATATACTTCTGAATTTAGACCCCAAACAATTGAATCGTCCACTGTTCATGGTCTCCAAATTTTCACACACGTTTCGTAATTCTATTAGTACGTAAATGCCGTAAAAGTGAATTAAATTATTATATAATAAAGGAAAATATAGCGTATTAAAGGAATTAATTTAACAGTTATGAGACGGCAAAATATCTAAGTGCACTTTACCTCTTTATAAGTTCTGAATAGCTCAATTATTCCCCAACATTTATTGCCTTAAAGTAATCAAGGGGTCGTGATGCTGTACAGCTCCTCTTCAGTTATCCACATTTTCTATTACGAAGTTTTACGTTGTGAAAATAAAACATAAATTATAAATGTTTATAAGAGTTTCCTATCAAATGTTCTTAATTAAAATAACAAAAACACACAATTATTATCCTGCTCCATTTCTTATATTTCCTTTATTGTATGAATTACTATTATTGTTAATAACTGAAGATTCGATTGTCTGATCAATGCTCAGTAGATAAATGGAAGATTAATAGGCAATCTAAATTCCAAGACAGGTTTGTGGGCTCCCAATTAATGGATCACATTACTCTTTTCGAATCGTTGGGCTAATAGGTCATCCCTCCTTTCTACAGAAATAAATTATGACTTAAGGTTCTATTATTTCCAGTATGTTCGCAATCACCCTTCAACGCCATTCTAATACACCCCCCACTCCGATTGCCTTGAAGTTGTTGATAAAATTTTAAACTAAAATAATCTGAAAGATAGATGATAACGTCAATTTAATCGAAACAGCTTGGTCTATCGACTTTCAAATGTTTACTTAGAAAAAATTGTGAAAATAGGTGGTAGCATCAACACAAAGTCCACCTGTTTTCCTCATTTATAATAGCCCTAATTAATAGGTTACATTTTATTTTAGTACGAAAATCCAAAAATGAATAAAGGAACTTACGGATGTTTATTTTAATGAAAAAAATAGGTAAAGTATATAGACCGAAAATTTCAGATGTTGTCAGCTTATGAAGTAAAATCTTACCTAAAATATTGGAGAAAAATTTAGCCGTTAATGTAGAGTAGTTTAAACCAGAACTGTATGTATATTACTTTAAGTTTATATTACCGTACTTTCAACATATTTTGTTATCCCAAATACTTCCCAAAAGTTAAATTTAAATACTTTTCTAGAATAGCGTCAATTTCCTAATTTGGCAAAATCAATAAAAGCTTACAGAATGTTTAAAATTTATATTCGGGCTATTTCACCTAAATATTTTCTTATAAGATATTTAACTCATAAAAATGCTTCAGCTGTTTAATTGGAACGCCTAAATCATATTCTTGATATACACTTTTATAAACCTTAAATTTCGCAAAATAATGATAATTCCCCATTTAAGTATTCCAAGGTCGTACTGAGTTTTAATTTGTCAACCGCCACGCGTCATCGTTGACTCTTCTCGAATTTCTCTATAATGTTTTATATAATTATATTAGCAGTTTTCTTTTTGCTTTTCTTGGCGTTTTATCTTTCTCTTGGATCTTCCAAGAAATCGACTGTTCTGATTACTGGACCATGTGAATCCGGCAAAACAGCTATGCTAGTAATGTTAACCCATAAAAAAATGCCTATGACGTTTACTTCACTGTCTCCAAACATTGAAGAATATCACCAAAAAGTAAAGGTAACATAAATAAAAAATCATTTGCAAGTCAAGTAATACGTTTAAACTCATCGATGTTCCCGGGCTAGAGAAACTTCGTTTTGGGTTTATCAATAAAGAGAAGTCTTGCACTGCGTAAGTCAAGTTCTAACATCTACTTATTGTCGCTTAAATTAGAGGCATCATCTATGTCATTGATTCGACAACCTTTCAAAAGAATATTAAGGATGTTGCTGAATATCTTTATGATTTGATGACTGATGAAACACTTGCCCGTTCACGTACTCCTTTCCTAATCGCTTGCAATAAGTCCGATCTTCCTGAAGCTAAGAAGATGGCTGCGATTGAAGAACATTTGGAAATGGAATTGTATCTTAATTTTTGTTTTGGAACCCCTTTGTGTTATTATTGTTACTAATAACCGATTCTTTTTCAGAACAACTCTCTCTCGAACTAAAGCTGAGGGTCTTGCCAGCTTGGAAGGCCATAAAGAGACTCGTGTTCCTTTAGTAAAGAATACAAATGAAAAATTCACCTTCGCTTCTTGCAAACACCATGCGGTTACTTTCGTTGAAACCTCAGTCACTTCTGAAGATATTGGCCAAGTGCGTCTTTGGTTGGAACGTCTTTAATTCACTTCAAACATGTATCTATATTTGTTGTGATTGCGTTGAAGCAAAATATGTGCTGATATTGTTTGTTGACCGGTATTGTTCTAATTTGATCTATTGTAATACTAATTTAAGTGTGCGTAATTTGTTTGAATTAATTGGTATTAAACATGTATGTCTTAATACGTAATGTTTGTAGTACAATAAACTTTCACAAATTACGGCATAAGATATTTGGTTTCCTATGGTAAAACTATTTGTGAGTTAGTGACACTATCAAGTGAATTCCCGTATTCGGTTATATTATATATATGTTAATCTTCTCTCTGAGAGAAGATGGCAGTGATAACATTCCCTTTCGTAAAGATTTAAACTAATAGGCCTATCATTGCTCATCCAGAATGGGCAAAATTAAATCTATCCATCTACGCACTTGCCCATTTTGCAGTTCTATTCCTTGCTGATAGGATGAATCAAAATACTCGCCTCTGGTACATCAGAGTTGCTTAGAGCAACTGTCTTATTTTTTAAAACGCAAGTTTATCCGATTAATAAATTCCATGTTACGCCTATCGTCGAGTATCGTTCAAGTTTCCCTTCGCGCTATTTCGAGTCTAGATGGGTTACAAGAATCAAGGCAGTCATTGGAGACGACTGTGATAGACGATAAAAATATCTCACATTTGTAAGATAATTTTGATTTTACCATTATAATGGCACAAACGAGCAATACTAGTAATAAAGCTTATTCCATAGCCTATGTCATTAATTTTCTACCGGTACTATTTAACCAAGAAGGATTGGTCATATCATACTTCCGTTTGTTTTATTTCCTTCCTACGGTAGAGAAAACAAGTTATTTTGTATAATAAGTAACAATTTCAAACTTTAAATGACGAAATTGAGTACATATCAAAAAGATTTTGTCGACACATATGTTATCTACTTAAATAAGATGTCAGTAGGGTTCTATAAACAAAATATCGGAAATATTTTTTGGAAGTTGACATGGAATTCGCCACTTTAATTATAATAGATTATTTGTGTACTTCCAGTAGTCATGTAAATTTTCAACATAGATACTGACTTAGAGGTAGCAACAATTTTAAGAAATGCCGTATTGCTTTAAGTTTTAAAATGAGCATCAAATACCAAACACCACTCTTCTCTTTTAACTGTATTTTGGAGAATTTTCAAATAGATAGCTATTTAATTAAACGAAAGAAAGTTGGTTACTTTCCTTTATTGAACCATATGACTAAGATCATGAACATTGTAATCCCCTTTAAACTTAATTCCATAGGAATTGAGTATTACTCAACAAAGTCCAACTTCGAGTATGATGTGAATTCTAGGTTATTAACTTGCCCCAACCCTGGATCTAGTCACCATTTAGACGAGTATTATCAAAAATTGGATATCAGGTTTCATGCTGCTACGATTGGATACGCTATGCTAATCGATACATATTATCCTCAAGTAAGTGTTAGTTCAGACTGCATTTATATGAACGAAAAGCTTCACGCATCCACCTCTCGAGAAGCTTTTGATATGAATAATATTTAACCCAATGGAATTACTTTCTTTAACTTAAGAACTCGGATACAATCTTTGAAGGTATTAATTCAAATGAGGTAAATAAGTTTGTAGCAAATTTGGTGCCCTTAATGACAAATTGACAACTTAATATAGAATTAGTACAGTGTGTATCAAATTAGCCCTGACATCTCTTTTAAAAGTACAATTTAAAGAGATTAGAATTGCTAAGTATAGATTTGAGAGTTCTCGGAGTAGAGTGCATCGGAAATACTTCAATAAAACGTTATTAGTATATTGTACTTACTATAAATAAGTAGACGTTATTTCTGCGTATGCACACAACACTAGTTTATTCCTCTGTATTCGCTCGTAGCTTCCTCAAATAAATCATGATTTTCGGTGGGAAAGAATAAGAGAGCCAGAACGAGAGAGTTAACAAGCAAGCAAGAGGACGACCATAGATCAGAAGCTTCGCTGCGCTCCACTTGTAAACAGACACAGACTTTTGTATATACACAAAAATCTTTTCCATAATGTCCAACCTCTTGATTACCGATTTCGTTTAATGTTTTTGCCTTTGCTCCGCAAAAGAGGATCGTAAAATAGGACAGGGGGACTGGCTTAGTCACACTACTTCTCTCACCCAAGCAAATTTTGATGATAAATCATATCAGTAACCAACCTCCCCCTCCCTCACCCCTCCGCTCTACTGAACTCTCCTACCCACCCCACCCCCTCCTCCTCCTTTCAACTCAGTTTAAGGGTGTGCTCTCTCTCGGACTCAAATTATCGCTGCCACCAGTGTAACCATAGGTCTTCTTCCACCTCCTCATGATTTGTGGCTCCTGCCACCATCGACTGTTAGGCTCTTGAGAGTAAATATTTCTTGATTACGTGTTCTTCTAGTAGAGTGGGGAGTTTTAACCCAGAAGAACAAGTCACCTAACTGGGCTAATTAAAATCACCGAAATCTTATCTGTTTTCGTTCCTTTCTATTTTCAAATCCTCCTAATGACAGCATCAATTGAGAAAACGTAGTGGTGAAACCTTTGAACATTTATTACATTAACACCGATAATACTAAGCATATTCGTGCGAAGAACATCTTGAACCATTTGCAATGATAGCGATGACTTAGTGAAAGCTTACAGCACCTAAAGCAATCCGTTAATCTTGATATTAGCTCAGTAGCAATCAGATATCCACATCATCTCCAAGTTAAAAGCGCCAAAATATGGATAATTGCAAAGTTACGTGTAATGGCAATCGTACACTCTATAGGCTTGGTCTTGCGCTCTAGCTAACTGGACAGCAAAGGGAATATGTTTCTCAGATTGAAGAAGGTCAGCACTTCCAAATAATCTTATGTTTATTTTTGCATTTTCTGTTCAACTTATGATTAATCTCCACACACTTTTGCTTGGTTATACATTTGAATGAACTGAAGCAACATATCTAGCCTGGAATTATTTGAAGTTACTGGTGCTAAGTAGTTTATTTTTTTAAATAAAACATTTTCCTTTCATTTCTGCTTTTGATTTCGAGATTTTCTACACCATAAATGAAGTCGGCTATCCGCGCAAGCATGTTCGAATTATTTTGCCTGTCAAATTTGTGTCTGTCGCACTTAACCGAACAGTTTGAGAAGTGGTGGCAGCTCAGCTTCTTCACCATTTTCCACTTCTTTGTTCCCCTTCTTCTGATGAATGATAGGCCTAGAAATTCTATGAGCTGATAGAATTTAAGTCTTTTCTTTCCTCGTACTTTCCCAGTTTCCGAAGTAGCTCCCTATTTCGTCCACCACAGGCCGATGATCACTGTACGAATATGTAGATATTCATATATATATATATTTTTTCTTTATATTTCATTTATTTTTCGAAAATAGTGATTTTTAATACTCCTAAATTAACGGCAAAATTATTTTTTGTTTACAGGGGGTGTTTGATAGACTTACCTCCACATGGTGCACCCTGGGCAATGTATACTCATACGGCAAAAAGTCTATTAATCGGCAATTGACTTCTCACTTCAAACTACCATCACCCCACAGCATGTCATATTCGACTACTCTCACAGAACTCATCTTACCTTTTTTCTGCCTTTGTGTCTGTCTCTTTTACATCTTCGAAACACTCTTCTGTTCCCCCCTCCCCTCTCGACTTTCGAATTTTTTCACTTTGATGTTACTTCCCCTCTGTGAAGCCTGAAGTCAGCTAAAGGGTTAATGATGACTATCATAACGCCTGCCGTTTAATATAAATAAATAAATAAATTTATTGTTTACAGTAATAGCCCCATATTAGGTATGCGATTTTGTCGCTTGGCCTTGCAGTTCCAATTGTTTATCTCATTCTGATCTGGACTAAATAGAGAGAGAATTATATGAGTAGAAATGAGATAGAATAACGGAGACATATTTCTGCCATTAATAGAATTCTAATGCCCTTTCGTTTTTCATTTTTGATAACCAATCAATCTACTTTTTGGATGAAATTATCAGGAGGTTTGCCTTTCAATGTCAAATTTAAAGAAGAGATGGCGTGGCGGGATAGGTGGATTTCGCATTTAAAAAAGGGTTTAAATCAATTTTTCTCCTTCAAAATTTGAGCTTTTTAGTTGAGCAGAAAATAGTTATATCCCTGTTGTGCTTGCGTTAGAAGCAAGTTAAAGAGAAATTTCGGTGATATAATAATGTTAATGTAATTACTTATGATAGTTTCCAATCTAACAGCCAGGCATTAAAGATGAATTTTGCTGAAATGCACCAACTCGATTATGCTAGTCCAAGAGAAAATAGACTAATAAATAATATTTTTTTATATTTATGTGTATTTAAAGAAACCCAATGTATGGAGAAATGAATGATTTTAGCGTTTAATAAAGCCTCCCTCTCTTTCTGATCTCACTCAAATATTTGGCAAATTCGTTTACGATATCGATTTTTCAATTGACTTAGAAGCTCGATAACGAATAGCAGACTTCCCTTCCTCTGTGGGCATTCTTCATCTATTATTATTATTTTTAGAAAATATCTTTGTTTTTAGATGTTGTGTAAGCATAATAAAAAAGATTTTGATTTATGAATTCCTTATATTGATGAGGAAAAAATGACGGAAAAAGCGCTTCAAATTAGAGTGCTCAATTATGTGGAAAAAAGATAACTTTGAAATCTTGTAGCCCGCCAAGAGAACATAAGAGATCAAGATAACAGCTTGTAAAGGCTTGTTATTCAGTTTGATATTTCATGCTGACAGCATTAAAATTCTCGCGAAAATGCTTTTACATCGAGGTTCATTTTTATCAAATGTCAACTTTGAGTATCATTGAAAATAATTGATTTTTATAGGGGTCCCCGATTTTTTTAAAAAGAGAATATAGTGTGCTGACTTGTATTTTTTATTCATTTATGAAGACAAATAGATAATCATTTATTATTTTGTGAAAGGCCAATTTCCAATTAAAATCGAAGCACTTTCAGA